AAAAAAAAAAAAAAAAAAAAAAAAAAAAAAACGAAACAAAGGACAAAAGCCGAACTAAAAAAATCTGAAATAATTATTTCCAATTCCACAAAACTGCATTCCAGAATGAGTAACAAGAATTTAGAATGGCAAATCTCTACTTGTTAGTAACCCTCAAGCAAAAAAACCATGCGCTAATCATTGCAGCATGCAGAGCTTTTGAAGCGAAAGGCAGCTGAAAGATATGTAAGATAGAAAATAAAGAGAATAAATCTACCTTTATCACCATCCTGGTCATCAATAGTTGCAGTCGATTCTGAGGCCTCCTTAATAGTATTCGGCGGCTCTTTTTTATTCAAGAGATTACGGCCTAAACAAAAAACTGTAACTTAGTAATTAAGGCAGACTCCATGAAAATACTGGAAAGTAATCACCTACCGTTGACCAAGCACCACTGAACTTTTTGATTCAACAACCTAAGGGTAAGCGAAAGACGAGCAAAACATTTTAACCTACCATAATGCTAGAAAAAACATTGAAAAAAACTAAGTTGACTAGTAATTGAAACCATCCACAGCTAGACTGTGCCATTCAGAAAGCACAACATGTCCTGACTCCTAAATTATACTTAGAAAAAAATAACTACTGATATATCTACTTTGCCCGACGTCACTGCCACCAGTTATTAACCTTACAAACAATAATTGTTGGTTGAAAAACAAGAGTTAAGGTGGAAATGTTGTATGTATTCGCTGCTGCTTCAATAACTTCAGCATCCAAAAATCTTCAAAAGCGCATAAGTTACGCTTTCAGTGCGACTAATACAACTCTTCAATTCCGTCCTCTCAAAAAAACTTTTCTGTCCATTCTTTTTCTTCTCCTAATAGATCAGATTTCAGTGGTCCTGTTACTCTAAATTAACTTCATTAAAAGAAAATGTGGAGTCAACTACCACAGAAACTGTACAAGCGCGATGCATGTCCAGATTCTGCACCACAGAATCTTTTGTAACGCCAAACATGTCAATTTGTATTTGAGAGCTAAAATGTAAAAAACTCACACCCAACAGAAAAAAAATGAGATGTTGATATCAAAAAGGTGGAAAACTAATCCTTCTTGAGTCTTAAAAGTAAAAAAATGAGCATTATATAGACAGGGCATTCAATGTTTCTACCCTGAGTCATACCAGTTCCCTTTGTCATCTTTTTTCAAAGATAATGAAGAATTAATTAAAGTCGATAGGCAACAGCGCTCCACTTACACTTTCCGTTTTCTTTTCCCCCCTCACCTCTTCAACAATGGCAGTAAAACTTCAAAAACTTCAATTTCTCTCCAATTACTAAAACTTTAAGTGAAACAGATAAGGTACCAGAGCACAATAAGTATTTTGAATTCTGAGACAACGAAATCTCAAGACTAAGATGCAACTGAACAAGAACTTGCTGATAATTCCGCTGCAGGATGAAAACAACAGCACAGGCAGACAAAGAACAGTTGTCAGTGTATTTATTAGCAGATGTAAAAACAATCTTTTCTTCTGCTTAATGCTTTTATCGCCAAAACTTGATTTAAAGATAAAAATTTATCCCAGTTCACAGTAAATGAAGCACAGAAAATACCGCTTGTAACGTTGAGTACAGTCACAGAAGTGCTAGTTCGAAGGGGCTGAAACTGCGGAAACACAGCGGTCGAAGTTGATATAGCTGGAGCCGAACTACCACTATACAATGCATCTAATTTTGAGCGAGTCCTGTGAACTCTAGAGACCTCAGCGTCTGGCTTCTGTTGTTGGTCCCATCCGGATTTTGGTGCTTTAAACAGAGTCTTACCCAAACCTTCTCCAAATGGCAGACCCTGTCTTCTGGACGTTTCCTCATTTATCAAATATATTGTAGCAACTACCACTGCCAACAGCAAATATACCCATACTTGAGATAAACGTTCAATACATATGAACACAAAATAGAGAACTCCGTCTGACATACGACAAATATCGGCTATTTGCACTAGCCGCCTACTCTAAACAATATTTACTTTTCATCAAGTGTAATTTTGCAACAAACGAATAATTTCCAAAGTAAAAGCCGTGAATAAGGAAACCCCAAACCCAATTAGTTATTACATTATATTAATAGAATACGAACTGACAATGTTAAAACAAAAACGGAAACTTTAAAAACAAAAAGTCCAAAACCGTTTTTCGCTAAAAAAGACAAAATATGATCGATAATAAAACTCTGGCCACACGATTAGAAGAGTAGACAGTTAACAAATAGAGGAAATAGCGAGCTTCATAAGCAATAATTTCTCTTCTTTTCTACTGTTCTAAAAACGAAAGCACTTTCAGATCAATATCATCTAACAGGTGCCCTCAAAACAGCAAAGCCATAAGTTTCAAAAAGAACTTTCCTAAACTTTAAGTGGGCTTCAGCTGCGTGGCTAATACTCTAAAAACGATTGCCTCTCTCTTTAAAAAAAGTTAACGATGCAAATGTTAAACTGTAGCCAGAACAAGAAATCACTCACTAAAGTAACCTAAAAAAGTCATTTGATCAAAACAGTAAGCAGTTCCCGCGCGTCATTTAGTCACTTTTATTTGGGAAAAGTTTATTAGTTCGAATTACAAACGCTACTCGCTTACACTTCAAAAATATGTACTCGTAACAAGGTTACGTGTCTATCATTTTGTGATGCATAAAACTTGAAAATTGAGAGAAAAAAATTTGAAATTCAATGAAAACTGATTAAAACTGTTCTTTAAACTTACAAATACAGTTATCGGCACCGCAAACCCTGATCCAGGTTTTCCAACAATCAGAATGTCCAATTAAGACAAAGAAGAAAAAAGCCAGAGAATTTACCAAAGTTCAAAAGCCTGTTGTAAACGAAAACAACAACTCAAAATTGCCGTCTGCAGGAAAACCTGTTCGACACTGAAAAACCAACTGTGAGGAAAAAAGCCTGTTAGTGTAAGAGCAAAATGCAACTTCAATTTGTTCAGCTGGCAAAAGTTAAGCAGCAAAAAAATTCCAAACGGTAGTGCAGCATACTAAAGAGCTCTAAGATAGGCATAAATCTTTCACAGATCTGTTATTACAGATAACAATGAAATAAAATTTCGTTCTGCCGCAAACCGATAAGAGGAAAACTTTTCACACATATCAGACACTAAAAACATCAATGAACTAAACTGTGCGGAAAAGCAAACAACCAGATGATGATAGCTGCCATCCCGCACGCAGTGAAATTTCTTCAAAAAAAAATTTACTCATATATTTCAAACTTGCCTAACCTACTCTGTATAAGCCACCACAAGGAGTTCTACGATACTAAGGTGCTGAATATCTACTGGCACTAAAACGGCAACTATAATCAACTTCCACTCTTTTAACAAAGCAGAAGTAAAAGTGGTGTTTTAATTGACTACTTCTGCACATTTGATCGACTAATTTCCGTTACTCAATCTTAAAAGCCTAGGCAGAAAAACCCATTTTTCAATACAACCTCCCCAACGATTACTGCGTGCAGTTCCAAACAAAAAAAAGCCAATAGTCATAAAATATAATCCGAATTTCGATTTAAAAGACTTCTTAAGCCCCTCAGACTTCAAAAAGCAACCTTCTGTTTTACAAGGCCAGTAACTGAGAGCGCTTACAAATAAACATAAAATAAAAAAAAATATGTTAGTCTAACAACCGCAATTCCAACAAACAAGAGGTCAGTTTCCTAAAAAAAATTTTAAAACTAGTTTTAAAGAATAATATACTTTTCACGTCCAACCTTTCCCCCTCAATATCCAGAAAGATTAGGAAACAGACAGTAACAAATGAACAGTTCCGTCAGTGTCAGTCAACGAGGAAACACAAGACCTATAACCCACATTTATCACAGCCACAAAAGTTCACCAAGAAGTTCAGTAACAAAATTCAATTTTTCCCATTCCTCCAAAAAATGAAAAAAGCAGTGCTTGTCTCATAAAACTAGCGCTTCATGTTAAAAGCTGAATTCCACCTCTTGCAGTCGATTAACCAAAATGCCAAGAGAAATCATCATATGCCTACAAATCTATGTTCCCCCTCAAGTCGTTTTCGCATCTTGATTTGAAACGAAATTTTGTAAGGCACAGTTGGAAAGTGCATTGAATACGATCCGCCACCTAAAAATGTATTCAGAAACATTACTAAAGCACATTTATATACCCCTCCCATTTGCTTCAAGTCATAACATTGATTATTTTATGAATGCAGCAAAACCGAGAATTTCCTGCCTTGAAATTTTACAGAAAACACTGTCTTTATTGCAACACCAAAAATAAAACAACTGGAAACTACAAGATCGGTCCGCATTATTCTGCAAGATTTTTACTCCAGACAACGTAGCTCAATAAGCAAAATTTGAAATTTGATCTTCTACTATTTTATCCTTGCTGCACTGTTTGGAAAAAAAAAAAACGCCGAAAAATGCAAGCAGTTTTAATAGCTTTAACTGCTTAATAACAAAATGTCATTTACTCCATACAATAGTTCTGACTTTTGCACAAGTTATTTCTGCGATATTTTTATAAAGATCTAATTCCCTTCAAAGCATTTAATCTTTTTTCTTTAAATCAAAGTTGTAATCGTGACTACTCCCTCAGAGAAAAAAAATTTGCTTTTTTGTTCTTACCTCTACAAAAATAAAAAGAACCAATCCTTTTCCTCCATAACTTTCTACCGAGCGACCAGATAAATAACGGCGCAAAGTCCAATACCAAATATCTATGTCAAATTGACGCAAAAAAAACGAAAAATCCTTAACTGGAACAAATAAAAAACAAAAAATCTAATACTCTTTTAAATTCCTGACGCCTTCTGCACATCCTTTTTAGGCTACGTCACAAATGACTTCTGAAATCTCCCAACAACCCTGCCCTAGAACTAGAAACCAAAGGGACCTGGAACTTACATCCTCTTCTTCTCCTAAAGATCAGAATTTTCAAGCTTCTGCACCAAGGAACACTTGATTTACTAACTCACTGTAAATTATAATGGGCAATTCCAATTCTTCACTAAAACTTTCGTTTCCAATCCTTAGACGATGAAGTTGCTAATAAAAACAAATTAGACAAAGCAACGTTGCATTACAAAAGAAGCATGTCGTAACCAGTAGAAAACTACTACTAAACTTCAACTACAAAAATCCAAGCTTTCTTCAAATATTCGAAGTTTCTTGCTCATAAAAAGGAAGTTTTGGCAACAAGTTTAAACCTTATAATGAAGCATAAAACTCAATCAGGCTAAAAAACTACATTAAAACCTAACTATCACCCACCGCAAAAGTCGTGATTTACTTGCTTGTTAGCAAACTATAACGGAACTGTTCTCAAAAGCCTAAACAAGAGAACGAGAAGACGTAAACTGCTGTCAGTAACAAAAAAGCTGAGAAAGAACGAAAAATGTGTAGCTGCCTCGCTCGAAGAGACAAACCAAACATACAAAGTTCATACCAAAAAATTATTAGAAGCTCAAGAGCCAACATATAAAGCCCAAAGCCTTCTTGCGTAGTTCAGCTAAAACTAAATGACCTGTTGAAAACATATGAATAATAGATTAAAACTGAACTGTTGACATTCCAAACTTGCTCAACCACTAGAATTATGGAACTCAGGTAAGCCCAATACCAACGTTTTAATGCTTCGATTATTGTTCAGCTCTGAGGCAGAAAAAAGAATGAAGTGGAGTAAGCGCATTTCAAAGCCAAATATAGCAGAATGTCTTTCAAAAACAACTTACAAAAAAGTTGTAAGACTAGTAATAAATAAGATAATATATAAATTTAAAAAATCTTACTCTCCAAACCAACCAACTAAACGCTGGCCAGATTCAATAATCAAAAGACACTCACTTAATGAACAAACTATCAGAAAAAAAACATATAGCCCCAAAAAAACCTATTTATTAACAATATTTTAATCGTAAACTAAGATGAAAAAATAATCTCGGATAAAGATAAGATAAAGACCTGTTTGCCGCAAAACTGCTTACAACAAATCAAAAAAAGACTGATTAGCTAGAGATCCTTCTAAACAGAAATTTAACAAACCAATGGTAATACCACTTACAATCAAAAATGAACCTGACTTGTTCGACCACTAAACTAAAGGCGTAAATCACCAAACAAAAGTTACTAGTAGCTCTATGTTCTGCAGTCATCTTGTGCTTGAGTACTCATAAAAATACCCAAATTGGTATCTTTCGACTGCAGGAGAAAATGGAACAAAATCTTTTCGAATGAGTCACTATCTACAGTTCGCACATCGCACGAGTTTGTGGTTCTAACAAACAAAAAAAAGTTTAAGTTATTATGCAATATACGTAGGCCGGAGAATACTGCACTCTAAATATCGAAGCATTATAACACAGTACCTAAAATCCACTTATGTCGTACACGAAAATCTAATAACCTTTACCTTCCGGAAAATCTTTTAAGGACGAAAGATTTTCGTTTGAGTACTGAACTCGAACTATTGGGCTAATAGATGCAAGCTGCTGTGAACAACGGCTTGACAAGTGTGACCTTTGTTTTTTCGAGTCGTAACTCTCAATGGTAATACCACTACTAGCCGCAGCCTCCTCGTAATTCCAGTTTGCCACTTTTTCAGCCAAAGTATCAACTGCACAGCGCACTGGAACTGGCAATTCGCTTGAATGTGATGAGTCTTTTTGTGGCAAAGAAGTCGGAGTTGTTAGAATCCCAAAAGGCAAATGGCGCTCACGAGAAGAAGTGGGAGTGGAAAGAGCCGACACGGATACTTGGGCTTGATTAGCACAAGTGTTTCCAGAGGTGTTGATCCCAAGCGGTAGTGCAGTGTTCAGTGTACCAATGTCTCTTTGTCCGTGTTTCGAACGATTTCTGAAAAGTAAAAACAATGCCAATACTGTTTAGCCACTCTTAACTTATCTATTCTGCAAGATAACTATAAATACGTAGTTTGCAGGTCTATCCTACAATTCAAAAGAATTTTTGAAGAGCATCAGTGGAAGCAATAAAGGGTTCAAGTGAATAACTGCAAATGGAACAAATAAAAACCAAAAACGAGGACTAATGAAGAAAAAACAGAAAATTTAAAACCCGGTGCATAATTATTAAACCAGCAAAAAATAAAAACAGCTGTACATTCCGAAAAAAATGAAGACCGTATTTGAGAAGTTACACACATCTGCCACTGTATTAAAAAAAAGCAGAACTATCCCACTAGCATAAATGCTGTTCGGAGGAAACTAAATTAAGCTCAAACGCTTAAAGTTTTAGTCTTCACTTATCAACTGCGTCCGCAAAAATCAAATGACAGTTTAGACACCGCAGTAAATAAGATAAAAATTAGTTTAAATCGTTTATGCCTACATCCACAAATGTCCCTAATTTGCGCTAACTCAACTAACACCTCATTACACCAGTTTTAACTAATAAAACAAGGTAATCTATTAATTAAAACCCAAAATTAGAAATGTAGAAGAAATTGCTAAAAAACACATACCTTCTCCCAAGCGAAGGTGATCGAGCTTTTCCAACCAAATCTGCCAGACCTGCCATAACATATCGAGGAGTAACAGTTATATGATAAGGACTTGAATTCCGCTTTTTTGTTGTTTTGTCCTTATAATCGCTCATTTCAGTTATGGAATTAATCCCTTCAATACTAGCACTACCACAAGCAGTAGCAGCGTCAGCACCAGCAAATATTTCTAACGGCTTTGCAGACGCAGACAAAACAACTGAATTTGATTCAATCGCTGCCGATTGCTTCTTTTCCCTTCCCACTCGCTCCGATCTTCTACCAGCAAAAAAGCGCTGTAAAGTAGGTGGTGTCGCATATATTCGGCGTTCCTCAGTCATCCCACAAAGTTCTTTTCCACTTAAACCAGCAACTCCCAGTAAATGCGGACACATACAATGCCCAGGGTTTTCGTCCTGCTGAAGATTGCAAGCACCAACACTTATACGTTACTTGAAATCGTAACAATATCACAACCACCATCAAACCAACTAATATAACACGTTGTTAATACTTGCCCAGTCGTTTCTGACTGCTGCTTCTTCTTTCTTTGAATTAGAACAATCAAGCTTTTTCTTCCAGTTTAGTAGTTTTCTGTTCAAAAGAAAAAACTAATGAAAATAGTTTCCTACAATATTAAACCTCTGACCCCCAAATACAGTATAAATACATGCAAAAAAATGAATTCAAAAGGAGTTAAATCTGAGAAACAAAACACTTATTTGCTCAATTCACCCCAAACAATTTTGAATCCTACCCAGCAGCTTAAAATTTTTGAATCTGCACAACGTTTTAGCCCAAAAAATACCTGTCTCCTATCATGTCTCCTTTTTTTAATACATAAATTATTTTACAGAATAAACGGTCGGAAGGGAATTCACTTAAGCAAGCTTAGCTATGCGCAAACAAACAAACTAAAAAAAAATATCCTTACTTTTCAACAAATACCACCATCACTGTGACTCTAATTCACAAAAAAAGAATGCGCACAAACGAGCAAAATTTCGCTTTTACTTCTCTCCGCTTCCCTCTTAACAACTGTAATAGCGACATCCACCTGCTTGAACTGATATTTGATCATTAAACCAAGCTATCCAGTAAACAACGAGCAAAAAACGATTTCCCAAAACACCACCTAGCTACAGAAATTTTGTTTGCATTAGATAGGATTTAGAACCCAAAAACTGTAAAGAAACTGAAAAAATTCTAACTACACAATTCTCAGTTGCTGCGCTTTCAGCTCTTATCTCAGTCCTTCTGGTCTGGCAATGAAGACGAAGAAGCACAGAAAGAAAAAAATAACACTTTTCCATCAGAACTTTTCCTATTTATAAATAAAAAATTCTCTAAAACTAACATAAGACAACGTCACAAATATTACATCCTTTCTAGTTACCTCTTGCAAATTTTTCGCTCCAACAAAAAACTTCTTCTTTTCCTCCATATGACCATCTTTAACTACTTTTATGTGCCTCTTGTATTTTTTCACCCCTCTGCTATTTCCCTTAATGTGTTTCTGACTCTCTTATCCCTGCACAGCGTTTCTTTCAGAAAATTGTATGCAGCACATCTCAAACGATGCAGCTGACGTGTATAGCCTCATCTACGATAGGCGATAAGAAGCAACAAAGTCTGGCACAAGTAATCGTGTTTTAGCATTTATGTTTTTCATAAATTTTCCATCTTAAAGGGGTATATATACCACTACTACCGCCACCAGTAGTTTCTATCTTTTCTTTAGCCTGCATCTGCATTCCCTACTAAAAGTATAACCATAAAAAATTTCTATAAAGTTATAAAAAGTGCTGTTGTACAAATGTTTGATAGCCACCTCCAAAAAAACAGACAAGTCTTGGTTATTTTTCTTAATAAATCGCTAACTAACAACACAAAGAAAAACCGACACTTCCTGTTTTCCTAGATATTTGTTTTGCTAGAAAACGTTGATTTCAAATAACGCCAAGACACTCCTCAAACCATTAAACAAAAGGCAGCACA